GCTCCCCATGTAGCCCACTGACCCACCTGGTCTGTTTTACTTTTCCCTAATATAAGTAGATTGTTAAAATTTCAGTAGTAGGCTAAATTTCGTTTATATTAATTGATTCAAATATGTTTTTAAAAATGAACTGTGTATATTTTAGAAAGTATAAATCTATTTTACTCTTGTTATACTATAATGACAATATAGGTATAAGAAACATTTGATAGTTCAAAATTGTACAGTTGCTGCAATTGTTGTTGCAAAAGAGTTACTTCACAATTTATTGTGTTTCTTTCCTTGTTTGAACAACTATGGCAGTATGAATGATGAAACACATTTTCATATTAAAAAACAAACATTTTGTTATAGCATTTAAATATTATCATGATCTGCTAAATCATTATACATTATGGAAGCTGTTGTTAATTTTAAGAGTTACTGTACATTATCATATATATATTAAGAATAATTGAAATGGAAAATTAGTAATATCATTGACATTCAAGTAATAAAAATTTACAAAAAAACATTATCGTACATGTAATAAGAGTAATTGAAAGGAAAATGAATAATATTATTAACATTAATGAAAAATATAATATATATATTTTGTAAAAAGTGTCACTGTAAATTATCATACATAAGAAATGAAATGGAAAACTAGTAATATCATTAACATAAAATGGATTAAAAAATAATAAAAAAATAGACATTTTATGCAAAAGCTAATGATCTTTTTCTAGAAAAAAACAAAATTGTTTCACCATACCAATCTACTCAGTTCACTATTAGTAAACTGGTACATGTCACTAACTTTTATCTTTTCATTTCCAACTCTATCCTGTTTGTCTATACGAATATGATCAAAGATTTAAAAAATCCCTCTTGGCTAAAGTTGAGTTAGATACATTACTCTATCATAAAGGAACAAAATGCAGGTAGCAGACCAGAACACTTTCCTCTTTAGCTTTCATAAGTTTTTGCTATTTGGATAGTAGAAGTATTTCTGTGCATTGGGGTGACAATGATTTTCAGTACAGTTGGAAAACCATTTTGCAGTTTCTTCTTGATTGCTGCCCCTCCAATCTCTTGCCTGTTGTTGTCGAGGGGGGGCTTAGGAGATGGAGACTGAGACCCAATGCAGGGATCTCCGCTGTCTAGGGCCTCAGCCCTCGACTCAACTAATTTTGCATGGTCTTTTCCCCCTCCAGCTTTTTGTTTCCGTCCCTTCTCCAACCCCTTCTACTATCTACTTCCTAAGGTGTAAGAGCCGAGCTGAAAGGATGAACGACTGCAAAACATAACCTTACCTACTTGCTTTTGGAAGCACTGCTGAAAGAAAAGGGTATTCTCAGAATATGGGGCTGTGGGGGGAATCACAAGGAATCGATCCCACTTGGCTGGGCCAAAGAGAGTACTCAGAAAGTTTGCAGAGGTAGAGGCAGTAGAAGTATGAGGGCGAGAGGAAGATAAGATGGTGTGGAGTGGAGTAGTTCTGCAGTTGGGGGGGTGGGGACAATATGTATGAAGAGTAATGGTTAATGGTTAAGATAAATGTGCTAGACATCTAAGGTCATATAGCACTATAGGAAGGTATAGTGAAGGGGGATGTCAGGTGATAGTTGCTATGTGTCAACTATCTAGATTAGTGTTGAAAAGTTGAAGATGAGGGAAAAGATTATGGTGGTTTAGGTAAGGGAGTTAGATCAAGTGAAGGATATTTATGCGTCTGAGGAAGGAGAACAGGTTGTCGAGGCAGAAGCTGTGGGATTCTGTAAGGATGTCTGATATGTTGGGAGGTCGGTGAAGGGAGGATAGGTGTGGAAAAGCAGAGGTACGTGCTGTATTAAAGCGTGGACAGGACAAGAGAATGTGTGGGGTATGTATGAAGAGTAGTAATGAGGGAAGAGGGGGTAGACGTTGAAGAGGACTGTGCAGCAGGAGATGGAGCATGAGTTATGGAATTTTGTGTCTCATGCATATAGCTTTGAATGTCTTCCATAGTTTCTGCAGTGGAGTTGGTTGGAGAGTTTTGTGGGACAAAGGTTTTCTTATGAGGGGGGAAGAGGAGACTGGTGTCTGAGGAATAAAGGTAAAGGTAGGTGGAGATGAGTGTGCTGTAGGGGAAGAAGGGGTGGAACGTTTCGTCTGTCTACTGCGGGTAGTGCGGGGAGGGAGAGGGGATGGTGTTGGGGCTGTAGTTGAGATTGGAGTGTGGTTGAGATTGGGGTGTCTGGATTTAGAGTGTCAAGAGAATTTGACTGGGGAGGTTGAATGTAGAAGTGGAAGTGGTGGAAGTGGGGAAGTAAGTAGGTATAGGGGAGGGTGTAGGAACATCTTAAGGGAAGGGGCAAAGTGAGTGACATTACTGGAGTAGGGAGTATAAGAGAAACCTTGTTGGCGTGCTTCCTGTCTGGCTTCACGTAGAGTGAGACCATTTTTGTATCTGAGCGCTACTACCTCAGACTCGAACTTGTAAGTGGGACAGCCTCTATAAAATACATTGTGGGGGCTGCCACAGTTAGCACATGTGTGTGTATGTGCAGGGCAGTTTGATCTGTTAGGACTGAGTTGGACACAGAGGGGGCATCAGTCTATGGAGCGGCATTGTTTGGCAGGATGTCCAAATCGCCAACAATTTTGACACTGACGGGGAGGAGGTTGGTATGGTTGAACAAGGAGGGATTGTCAACCAATGTAGATACAAATGGGAAGGTCATGTGTATTGAAAGTAATTTTAGCAATGTTGGTGTGTTTCTCTCAATGACCTCTAGGAGGAATGGAGTAGCAATGTACTGATATCACGTCCTGGTTTTTGAGGCAGACAAGCAAGTCTTCTCCACAATCTGACCAATCTTTAGTATCGACTGGGCAGTTTGCTGGGGAGATAGAGACAGTTCTGGTACAAGTATTAAGAGTTGGATGAGGTTCTGCAGGGATGGGGTTGCCAGAGAGATCAGCTAGTTTTGATAATGCAATAGCTTCAGCTTTGAGATGGAAGCGATTGCGCTGGGTACGGAAAGGGACTCTGCCTACATGTTTATGGAGACATTGTTGAAAGAGAAGAGTGTTGCCTGAGTAAGGAGCTGTAGGGGGGATCACAAAAAATCAGTCCCATTTAGCTAGGCTAAATAGAGTAGTTAAGATATTTGTAGGGTTGGTGGTGGTAGAAGGACAGGGGCGTGTGGAAGCAGGAGTATTGTTGAGGGGGGTAGTATTACGCAGAGATGGAGAATAAGGCTGTAAGGTAGTAATAAGGGAGGTTGGGGTGTTTGATGAAGAAGGTTGTAGGGGTAGAGTTGATGAATTTGAGGAAGTTGGGAGGGTAGGAATGTCTTCTGGAGATTGAGTCTCTGCTTGGGTGGGTAAATGCACTAGTAGGCATTGAGGAGTGGGTAGTAGTTTCAGTGTTCGGAGTCGTGGTCAAAGGAGAGTCTAGGGTCAGGGAGCCGGTGGGCCTGTTTGATGAAGGGGCAAGCCTCATTGCCCCTAATAGGGGTATTACATCATTAGTGGCTATGGGAAGCCTTGATTATGTAAAGGAAAATTAACAGTCCACCCCTCAGTTCCCTGTACAGACAACTAAATTGGGAGTACCGTGCCCATGGTTCCCGCAGGCTGTTCAGGACTGGCACAAGGTCAGCCTTTCATCCTTTCAGCACGGTTCTTCCACCTTAGGAAGTAGATGGTAGAACGGATTGGAGAAGGGATGGAAACAAAAAGCTGGAGGGGGAAAAGACCATGCAAAATTAGTTGAGTCGAGGGCTGAGGCCCTAGACAGCAGAGATCCCAGCATTGGGTCTTAACCTCCGTATAACAACAAAGAAAAATCTACATTGTATAAGGATATTCCTGTAAGGAAAATTTCCCTCTGTTCTGTATGTTTTATTGGATCAGTAATGCATAGGAGCAGTTACACCATATAAGAACACACTTGTGGTATAAACAAATATACATTTCATTACTGACACAAATCATGAATTATGATGAATAAAAAGAAATGTAAAATGTCAAAAACACTTAATAAATGCCAGTGCAATCATTTCAAGAGACTAACGTAGTTATAGATCTAACCCACTTCCAAAGACTCTGGGTAAAGAAACCTAAAGCTAAAGCAACACAGTTAAAACTACAATCAGTCAAAATCTATATAATTTCTTCTTTCAGCTCTTGATAACTTTTCCAACTGGGTTTGGATGTTAAAAGCATTATGAATGATCCAACATTTTTTTCCTGCCCTTTTTCTTTAGCCAAAGCAGTATACTAGATCTCACAAAACAATTTCCAGATAATATAGAAAGCAAATATATTATCAACTATATCTTGCAACTTTTCAAAGTAAATATCTGTTATAGTATCAAATGTCAACAACTGAATATCTGGTAACTAGACCAATTAAAATAATTGGCTTAATTTCAATATTATGTGAAGTATTTGGTAGAAAAATTGAAACTAATAAATTCCTAACATTCATTGTCTGGTAGCAGTGATAATAATAATAACAATAATAATGATAATAATGACAATAATGATAATAATGACAATAAAGATAATAATATTGATAATAATTATAATAATAATTATAATAATAATGATAATCATAATGGAAATAATAATAATAATAATAATAATAATAATAATAATAATAATAATAATAATAATAATAACAACAACAATGATAATAATGATGATGATAATAATGATAATAATAATAATAATAATAATAATAATAATAGTAACAGTAATAATAATAATAACAAAATCCAAGCTGGAAACTCAACTATTTATTAATTAGAAGCAACCATTTCTTAATAATCATATTCAGAATCTAGGTTCAAAATAGAATCCTATTTATGGCTAAATTTACATTACAAGATTATAAAAATATTTCTGTAAGACTGCACCAGCAATGGTAAACCTGCATGTGCAATATTCTTTTCCAGTATCAC